CTACTTTTGAACAGTGATTCAGATTGGATCATGTTTACAGTCTGCTACTAAGGGAGGAGTAGACAGGGAGGAAGAAGTTGGAGACACTGGAGAAAGGATGTAACTATAGGACACGTCTGGCGGAGATGATGAGCATTAGGGTTAAGGATCCAGGTGAACAAATCCGCCTTGAACAAAAAAAAAAAAAAAAGGAACAGCTCATCGTCTGAGAATGAAAGACAATAGGAAGAAGGATGGATGTTTTTCAGATAGTAGGAGGTTGAAGAGCATCAGAAAATGAAGACCCACTTCCCCTAAGAAAAGAGGATGAAATCAGCTTCTCAGAAAGAAGGATATATGGATTTAGGAAGAGGCCCCAGGAGATTTGGAATTAACCTTTAAGACACAGGACCAGAGTTAATCAAGCCCAAGTAAAATATTGACAAGTAACCATTGACTAAGGGAACATGATATTTTAAAACCTTCATTGGAGTCATTTTTTTCATAAGGTTATTTATTTCATAGTTTGATTTATGAGTTCAAATTTCACCCAGAAGTAAAAAATAAGGCAGTGTTTACTTTCTTACAAAATCAAACTTCAATCTGAAATCCAGTCCATGATGTCATTAACATGTGAAGAAAAATCTGGAAACCATCATGTTAAATCTGTATAATATCTGCTTATGCTTTTGTTATATTTGAACAAAATATCCTATTTATACTCGTATGAAATACCATCTATATTGTCAGAAACAGCATTTTTAACCCGTAAAGAACTAGGCCAGATAGCTGTTACTTTTCCTGTTTTACAGATGGAAAAATTGAGAGTCAGGGAGGAAATTTTACAGTTGGCAGAAGTGTCACCACCCTATTCCAAGTGTATTGTTTGTTTAATCAGACTTCTTTACAATATTGTAAATGTTTTTTAATTGCAGGTCAAAGTTAAATCTTGAATTTAGCTTTTCTGCCAATTTGGTTTTCTTTAAGAAACCTAAGTAAGATGATCTCAAATATATGGAGAGAAAGAAAATAGACATTACATTAATCAAAGGAAACATCACATGAATACCAATTCTTATCAGAAGCTGATTTTAGACATGATACCAATACCTTCATTTAAGAACTCACCATGCGTTTTGAAAAATATTTTAATAAACACAATCTAAATTAAAATGATCTTTATTGAGAATCTAAATGTAGATAAATCACTTCAAATAAGTATTTGAAATAAATGTTAATCCCCATTCCTTGTGTGGTTTTAAAAGCTATATCAGCAGCTTGGAGTCCAATTCTAGATGGACAGCCAAGCTTTTCACCAAAATTTGAAAATAGCACCTAGAGTTTAAAAAATCAAAAAAAAAAAAAAAAAAGCAATAAACACACACACACACACACACACACACACACACACACACTTGAACTGTTGGGATATTTGGCAATATTTGAGTCAAAAACAATGATGAAGAATTCAGGTTAAGAAGTCATGCCATTCAGAGGACCCAAAATAATCTCAATTTGATAAGAATTTATTAATCCTCCTAAAGGTATGGAATCACTATAATGGGATCTATGAATCTGAGCAGATCTATGTCTGCCAGCAGATAGGCATGCTAGACTGCAAACAAGAATATTTTCATGTATATACATTTTTAGCCCCAAGTCTTCATAACAGTTCAATAGAATTCAGAACACAAATCTGTCCCCAGTGCCAAAATAATGTATCTGCCTCAAATTACATTATAGTGCAATAAATGTATTATTAATCATTAAACTAGGAAGGAATAAAAAATGTTTCAAAAATGTTCAACAATTGATTTTGGTGTTCTGAATACACAAACACCATTCCTCTGTATCAGCAGTAGTCCCACGCTTAACTAGAGCTAAAAAGATACATATAGATCATCTAGTGCAACTCCTTAATTTGACAAGGAAACTGGGCCCAGGGAAGGGAAATTTACTCATCAAGAATCAGTTTAGGCAAAAGTGGAATTAAAATCCAGATATCTGAATTCACAGTTTAGTGCACTTCCCAGAGTAGTAGATATAAATAACCTCATCTAATTTCATCTGGCAAGCAAATTCAGAGGCTGAGTGCAACTTTAAGGATCATGCTGAGTTTGCTGTTTTATCATATTCAAAAGCACCTTCCATAACAAATGGATAATTAAACAATATTATAATCAGAGGAAAATAATTATTTTAATTGATCAAACACATTATAAACACTCTTTGAACCATATTATTCCAGATATTTTCTAAGTAACAGTTAAATACATAAAATGTTTAGACTCTTCCATTAGCCTTCTCTGGATCATTCCTACTGAAAACAGCAGAAACAAAGTGAAATAAGAAAAAAACAAAAAAAAAAAAAAACAAAAAAAAAAACACCACACAACAAAAATTACAAAAGAACTAAAAAACTATTACTAATACTTTAAAACCCATGGCCTTCAATTCTAAACAAAGCTGTCAATAGTGAGCACTGATTTCCATCCATCACCAATCAAAACAGCAAAGTAACACATTAGGAAAGCTCATTGGTTCATATCGCTACCCTTATAGATATCAGTTTCCGGAAAAAATCATTCTGAAGTGAATCATCTGGATCATTTTTTATTACTCACTCAGTCTTGAGACTGTCTGCACAGTACTGACTGAAATGTACTTCAGTGTGCACCTTCCTTCCAAATGAATATCTATGTCAGGTTTATTTATAGCCACGGCTTTCAATCAGTGCATTTCCAGGTATGAGAAATAAAACCATCTCAACCATACTCTCCTCTAGAGGTCTGAACAGAAACCTGGAAATCTTGGCCAACGGCCTTTGAAGTGATAATGAAAGATCTATAATGTAAAATGTACATTAAGATTTATTAAAGATTCCAAAGCACACTCACCTTATACTTTTTAATAAGCCCAGAAAAAAAAGTACAATTAGAAAATTAATGTATACCTTGTGCATCTTTTTGCACATCTCTTTATAAACTCCAACATGATTATCATAATCTACTTCATTCTCTTTTCCTCATTATGATTCTGTGAAATTTGGACATCTCTTTGTTTCTTAGATGCTTTCCTCTCTATTTAGGAGCTTAAGGCTTTCCAAAAGCAGCGCATACTTCCCCCTACTGGGAAAAAATTAAATTACAAGGAACATCTTGAACAGGTTCCTAAGTATGAAGAAATCAAGTTCCTGGGGAAGATGAAATGGCAAGGAACCAGATGCATAGATTTCTCTGACTGTTTTCAGCAGCCACAGAAGACTCTGTACTCTTTTAAGGGTTTCTCCCATGCATTCCTTTAGCTTGGCAGTTTTGAAAAGTCACTGACTCTAATTAGTGAAAGGTGAATTAATCATTGATTCTGCTGTCCCCAAGAGCAGTCCTGAGAAAATGATCACTTTTTATTTGTTGTTGTTGTTTTTTATTTTCACTGTAAAGACATTATCAGCTAAAGATGCTTCTGGAAAGCATGTTGAAGTAAACAATTTTGAAAGCTTAGCTTCATTTTTAACTGTTTTGGAATAATCTTAAGCATTCAATAACTCATTAATTTTCAATACTCTTTATTTTATGTATTGCTATGTTTTTCAATAGAGAGGTTTTTATAATTGACTTTACTGTTCAACTTTAATATCTTTTTTTTTAATTCAGTAACCAAGAGAGTAGTAAGCATAATTGTATTTTACCTTCCCAAATCCTCTACAAAACCAACTTGTTTCTTGAAAAACAGTTTAGTTGTTTCACAAGTTCAATATTTTTATTATAAATCTTTTTTTAATTGTTTAGTATGCAAACGTGGAGTAAAACACCTTATACTTTATTATTATAAAAATATTCTATTATTAAAATATTTAAAATAAACCTAATGTCTATTTAAATCACACATGGGGGGATCAGAATATTTGCTGCCATGTACAACTAAGTCTCAAAAAAGAAAGCAGTTCTTTCAATGCTGAAGGGCTGAGGAAGAGGAAGTTGTCACTTTTAGTTTGGCTATAGGTAAGTCCATAAAACCTCAGCTACAGAACTGCACTGTAGTCAGTTTAATAACGAAGCAATTCATTATTAATGAAGCACTCATCAAAAAAAAATCTAAAGTTGTTTTTAAAAAGGCTTGTGTAGATTACTACAGATACTGTATCTTTATCAGTTAGATGGCATTATATCAAGATAAATGGAGTAATTTGATTAATATTCCTTTCATGGAGTTTGTGGTGTGTGTGTGTGTGTGTGTGTGTGTGTGTGTGTATGTGTGTGTGTGTGCGTTTACACAACCTTTCAAAGCCACGCAAAAGACAAGACACAGAGGTTCCCCCGGGAATGAGATCTCCTTTAGCATCGCAGGTACACAAAAGAAAATGCACACTTGGTGAAACAGTTGATCAATTATGAAGTGTTCCCAGCGACCGGTATAACTCGCAGAGTAAACCCATTATCACACTTCAAATACACGGGTAGCCACTTTAGCCTCTGCCACCTTCACAAACACAGAAGAACATGCATCCTACGTGCATAGTTTAATCTGGGTTAATTCCAGGACTTTCCCGGGGAAAGACTGTAATTAGACCAGAGGGGATCACATCACTTCCCAAAGGCAGGAAAGGGGTGGGAAAAAATGCTGACATGCAGCAAGAAGCTCTTAGAACATCACTACATGGATCACTGTTCACTTCCAAACGGATGCACCTTCCCTCCTGCGAAGTGGAAAGATCCCTGGCAGCCGCGATGCACTTTATGGTTTCTCTATCAAGGATCCTAACAGGTCACACTCGCCTCTGCCATGAAGATCTGGTCGCTCCGGGCTGCCCCCAAATTAAGACATAAACGAGTAGGAGCATCGCCTCCTGCCCGCCCAGAGAGCAGCAGGCTCAGGAGCCAGCGTCTTCAGGGGACCAGTTTCTGCAAAAGGAGACAGGCGTCCCCTCCCCAACTTCACTCTCCCAACCCAGCCTCGGGGTGAGCTGGGCGGGCGGCCGAGGGTCGGTCTGTGCCCAGGCTGCGGGGGACCCAAGTCCTTACCTTCGGCCAAAAGGCGCGATGCATGCACAAAAGATGGATCCAGGCTATCTTTCTCTGCCATCAGCTCAGGCAGATATTTCTCCTCTTCCATAGCGCGGACTTCGGACCGTCCACGGGCGAAGCGCTGGGTTCCGCGCTCTCGGACGCAGGCTGGCGGGGCAGCAGCGCCTGGGCTCCCGCGCCGCTCCGCCTCCTCCCCGTGGCGAGGGCACCTCCGCGCGTCCTCCCCGGCCCCGTGCACCGAGCACCTGCGACTCCCGCCGTCGGGCTGCGCGGCCCAGCGCCCACACCTGCCCGTCCCCGCCGTCGTCCCTCGCTCGCGCCGGGCCTCCCCCCAGCGCTCGCAGGAGCTGCCTTAACTGGGGAGGCGGGCACAGGGCGTGCCCCGCCTCCGCCGGCCGCTCATTGGTGCTGCTGCCCGGGAAGGCGGGGCCCCGCGAAGGGCGCGGGCCCTCATTGGGTCGTCCCTCACGTCGGATCGCCTGACTGGCAGGAAGACAGCTGCAGCGGGGAGGGGGGCGCAGAAGGGGCCAGCGCTTTCTTCTTGCAGCTCCAGCCTCCCCTGGTTATAGGAGACATGCCCAGGGGTGCGGAGGAGCTCTGGGTCTTCAGCTGGGATTCCAGAGGGTAAAGAGCGGGAAAAGCATCCCTTTAAACTGAAGCTGCGGGGCCAAGAGGGCAGGCAGGGAAGGTGGGAATGAGGAGTGAGCAGCGGAGGGAATGGAAAAGCACTAGGGAAAGTCTCTCCCGAAGGTGGATGGGACTTTCCCTGCGTCCCTAAGGCACAGGTGTCTCCAGCCCTGTGGCTCAGAGGCGCTCCGGTGTGCAAGAATCGGCAGCGCACCCAGTCTGGAAACATAACGGAGACCGCGTGTGATGGGTGACTCCTGTCTTCAATGAGCCTGACCTACATCTCCGGGAAGCAGTGGGATGTTCATTGATAAACAAATAAAGAGGCTCCAGGCGATGTTGTTGTACAGCAACATGCTTCTAGCATACAGTCATTAGGGTATTGACTTAGTTCGGATTTCTCTCCCATCTGCCCTTCCTTCCCCATGCCCTGTCTACGGAGGGGGTTCAGAGAGGTGGCTGGATTTTTAAAGCTAAAAAGCAACACAAAAAGCCACAGTTTGTGAAGGAATCGGAAAGACATGTGGAAGAAGGAAGAGACTAGAAAATAGGTAACCACGATTGCTCTCATTTGCCCCTTTCTCCTTATTTTAGATGTGACAGCCTCTTCCACCAGATGCTGTTGTTGAGGTACTTTGTATCTATCCCACCTCTATTTAAGGACAGTGAAACTCTCCAGGTAACACCAATCGGGGCCTGAAAATACATGCTTCAAATGTTACTAAAATGTTTCCTCAGTCTCTTCATAAACAGTCATTTTCCATTTTTGCCTCTACCCGTCCTAAGAATGGAGACTAACTTCTCTACAAGTAAAATAGACTGAAATCTTCCAAGTTCTCTTATTGATTTCAAATACTTTTTTTCTGTATTTATTTTTCAAGGTGAGGTTAAGGGATTATCCTTTACATACTTTTTTTTTTTTTTTTAATTTTAACGCGTCTTCACATCCATTATCTGTTTGCATTCTGAAAAACATGGTGCAGGTATTGCTTTATCTGTTTTATAGGCATGGAAACGAAAGAGACAGAGAGAAGTTCAGTGACCCAGAAATATAAACATGACCTCTTTGGGCACCAGCCATTGTTCAAGAAGTTGAGTGTGTGCTATCATGGGGCCAATGATAAGGGGATAGATAGCTAACAAGTGTGATAAGACTATTAAAAGTTTATGAAATAAGCTGCAGAACCATGACTTGTTGATATTTTTGTTTTTGTTTTTCACAGTAGGAATAATACCAATCGTTAGACAGGTAGCTATAGTAGTGGAGGGTGAATAAGATGCCAACCACAGCTAATACATTGCAAACATCTGGAATTAATATAAATTAGAAAAATTATTGTGCAGTAATTGCAATCACATTTTGCTTTGCAGCATACCAAAAGATTAAAAGCATATGGTGCTGATGAAGACATATGCAAACCCAGTTTTATGAATTTTTAAAAAATGCAGTAACTCTTATGATATCCAGCAACAGCAATTACATGATCCATTCATAGTCCCCTTTTTCATTGTTAAAGCTGCATTAAGAAGATACCATTGAGAACAGTCCCCGGGTCGACTTTATTATACAATGTCTCTGGATATTCAGATCATTGTAGGTATGATAAGCTAGCTGACTTTTATTTTCCTAGTTATTATCAAGAAAGTTGGGATTTTATTTTCTCAGGTAAAGTCTCATCAAAATGCCTAAAATATATTCTAACAGGGAAAATGTATTTCCAAACAGGATATGGCTGAAAAAGGAAAAGCCTCCAAATGCCCTACACATCCACTTACCCAACATCAGATCCATGTGTTTTCAATAGATGACTCTATCTCACCATGTTCTCCACTCATTTCGCATATAACTATTTTACAGGTACTACAAGTACATTGTGAATAGTCTCAGAGCAAACTTATCCTTGCAAACATTGGATAAACATGTATGTAAATAAATTGAGAGTTGTCTATAGATCATTATTGAATAGAAAGTATCATATTTAGACATGAATAAGTTATAACTACTGGTAAACCCACCTCTTCTTCTAATGATGTAAATAATGTAACCATAATCACCACTTAATTGATTTGTATATCTTGGATAAAGATTTATCTCACATTAAACAAGTTCTGCTCCTGAAAGGTTTTTTTTTTTTAAATGGTATTCTACTAACTGCACTATTATTTCAACAATGGAATATTAAGGAAAATTTTGCACTAAACAAATTTTGTTTTGAAGGATAAATAAGGCATACATTATAGAATATGCTCTGCAGCTAATGCACAAACTATGTATCCAACACTTACACAGACCCTCATTAGAAAAGCCAGGTGAAAGGGCATTGAATCAGGCTCATTTTTGCACACTAATAAAAATATTTAACTCGTATTATTAAATAAAACACAGTTTTCAGCCGAAACCGGTTTGGCTCAGTGGATAGAGTGTCAGCCTGCAGACTGAAGGGTCCCAGGTTCGATTCCAGTCAAGAACATGTACCTTGGTTGCAGGTACATCCCCAGTGGGGGGTGTGCAGGAGGCAGCTGATCCATGTCTCTGTCTCATCAATGTTTCTAACTCTCTAAGCCTCTCCTTTCCTCTCTGTAAAAAAATCAAAAAAATATATTTTTTTAAAAAACACAGTTTCAACTTCAGATTTCTTATCAACTTTAGGTATACCTCATTAAGCTGACTCCAAGGATTAAGGAGTCCCCAATTACAACAAAACAATAGGTTAATAAAATTATAGCAGCCCAATAATTTATGAACACCAAGAATCCCATAGAACCATGGGTTAATAAAATCATAGTAGGCCAATCATTTATATTAAGCTTTCTAATGCCTTGGTGCCTGAGATAGGATATAATAAAGGATCAAACATTGAATGGCTGATTTTCATCTATTGAAGAATCTGGCAGAGCTCATTACATAGAAAGTGCTGTTTTAATATTTTCATTTATTTTAGTTCCACTAACTAAATTAGTGAAACCAGTTTCAGTTTCTTTTATAACATTAATAATATATTTTAGGGTCACAAGTAGAAAAGAAGGGAATGGGGACATGGCTCTTCTGCCAACCAATAGCAGCAGTAGCAAGTGCAGTAAAAATTCTCTCATAGGTAATATGTTCAGAGTCAAAATGTATGCTATATGTTAATATTCCACAGAATAAAATGAATATTCATCACTCAAATCTGGCCTATATATACACAGGGAAACGTGTGTTTACTGATTAGAAAACTTTAAAATTATCATATTGAATTTTAACAGATATAAATGTAAGAACAGCAAATGAGAAAAAGGACTATTGTGTTTGGAATATTGCCATTCTAAATCTTCACAAATGTAAGGAAGGAAGAACAAGAAAGAAGCTGACATTAATTCTAAAGTGGCATAATACCCAAATACAACATTTATGATGCTGAAATTATCTCTGTTTGGGAAACTGACCAAGTTCATCTAGTTATAATCACTGCACTGACACATTTTTTGTTGAATAGATAGCAGCAGAGGAGCAGTTACTGCATTATGAGAAAGAGGAATGAAGCTATTGTCTCAAGGTGAAAGTTATTGACTGTCTTTTTCAAATTAAATCCTTGAATTGTTAAATTGTAGCTCATATATTGATTATTTCTAGAGATCAATATATTAAGGTGATATCACATCCATAAAACATAATATATTTATACACAGCAAATGATGATCTGAATTCTCTTGTGTTCAATATAAATAAATAGATTAGGACTAAAATATTACTTAATACAATATTCAAGTACACTAAAACTTTTGCTACAGAGGTAGACTGATAATCAATTGTTTTATATCATTAAACAAGTTAATAAACTAATCCTGGGAAAGATTAGTTAATATTGAAATTGTATTTTAAGAGAAAACCATCACATTTAAGGTTTTAAATTACTGATGTATTTTTTTTATTATTTGGTCTCACACAAATAATGATATTGTCATGTAGGAAACCTAGTGTATAAAATAATTATTACAGAGTATAGCCATTTGAAGAGAATGATAATAGAATTAGAAAACACAGTTTGAGAGTCAAGATTTTATTAGATGAACAGAGGAGAAATAGCAAAAAATCAAAGACACATTGACTATCATGGCCATCCAACCACTATCATGAAAATTATTTCAATACATGACAACTAAACATAAAGTGTAATCCTAAATTGAATCCTGGGCAAGATTTTGTTTATATTTTGTTTGTTCCTGCTGTTGTTACTATGAAGAACAGTGATGGGATAATTAGCAAAATGTAAATAAGGCTTATAATTTTAGTTTACTGATTTTGCTAACTCTGTTGTGATTATAAAAATGAGTATCTATGTGTTTTTTTTTAATTTCATAATAAAATATTTAAGGGGTAAAGAGATATCACATTTTCAACTTACTTTTAAATAATTAAGAAGAAGGAAAAAAATATATATAAGAGAGAGAGAGAAAGAGAGAGAGAGAGAAAGAGAGAGA